GAATGGCTCGGAGAGGTCTTTCCCAACTCTGACGGAGCTGGTGGTATTGCTCAACGTTATTTTGCACAGCCGTATGAGTTTTGAGGGGATGCCAAATTCAGACATAGCGGCTTATAGGCAACTCCTTTTAGTGCTGTCGAAAGCGGCTTTAAAGTCGACAAATAGGTGGTGAGTGTCGATCCTTTTTTCGCGGGTTTAAAGCCACACTGATAAGGCCCAATCAGTTCATTGACAGTAGGCTTCAGTCTTTCACACAATACGCTCGATAAGAACTTATGCTTAGAAGGCTGATCCCGCAGTAGTTGGCGCGAATGGCAGGGTCGCCTTTTTGTGGATTGGGCAGAGCACACTTAAATTCCAGTCGTCGGACATGCACCTTATCAACGAGTACCGAAAGCACTGGCTGTCTGTTGTGGCTGCAGCTTTTCGACGTTAAGCTTTCCTTACATATTAGGGCGCACATTTTATGCTGCACAGAGGCGGGTGCGTATATTGGCTGCAACAAGATAGTGGTCCGTCGATGTTTGGACCTCGGAGTGTGCGTACGTCTAAAACACTAGAAGCGTGCCTTCCGTCTATCACAACATGATCGATTTGGTTTCTCGTTTTTCGATCCGGAGACAGCCACGCGGCTTCATGGATCTTTTTATGCTTGAACCTAGTACTGGATATTACCATGTTTCGGGCCCCGGCGAAGTCGATCAGCCATTATCCATATGCTTTTGTTAAAAAAGCTCGTACAGTTTGTCGAGCTTCTCCTCCAGTTTGTGGTGTGCGTTTTGATGTTGCCTTACAAATGAAGTCACTACAGTTTTACGCGGCCTCCGAACGGCAGAGGGTTTTTAAGAAGCTTTTTCATGGCAAGAATGCACTCGGAGGTATACCAATGCTTGCGGAGGGGTGACCTCTATTGCAAAGAACTTCGATGTTGCTGGGACGTGAAATCGAACCCTTGACCTACCAAGTAATAGTGCGCTGGTTATAGGTGCGTCGGTCGAGAGCAAATGTACACTTCGTACATATTCCAAAGAATTTAATTTTAGTTTTCATATTATATTTCATTATTTAAAATTAATTTGAAAGCCATGTGATTTTACTAGGTGATGGATATCGGGATCCGCTGGACCCGAACTCGAACCACTTTGTATAAATATAGAGCATGCCGCCAAACAAAGTATGCTTAGCTTTGTTGAAATGGATTTGGAAAAGCTAAGGTCATATCCTCTAGGAATATAGAATCGCTAGGGTCCTCGCTTCCGCCAGATTGTTTCTCTAGAGATATTATAGGTAAAACCGAAACTTGTTTGAGCGAAAACAATCACAAATAAAGACTATCGAAACTAGAGTAGCACTCAAAGCCGGCTTATCTTATGAAAACAAATCACCTTTAGTGCATTGAAAGGCTAACTAACTTTCTTGGCATACATAATAACATCCAGTTAGCGCTGGTACCTGGACACAGGTGAATAGAGGGTAACGAGGCGGCAAACTGTCTCGCAAGAGATGCGGCAGCCATCACTCCAATTGGCACCGAGCCCTTCCTAGGACCAGATTCCAATACTATAAAGGAGGTGCTTGGGAGGGAGATGAACACAATCAGGGATATAAATTTGCATAGTTCGGTAGGAATGTGTCAGGCAAATTGTTTACTGGTAGGCTATAGCAAGAGAAGATTCCAAGGCTTAATTAAATCTCCCAAATCAGACGTTTAGAATACTAACCGCACTGACACTGCAGTTTAAGAGGACATCTATATACATATATAGGCTGGGGATATGGTCAAATAATTTTTGCCGGTTCTGCGACTCGACCAGCAATATAGTTCTACACTTTGAGTGTGATACAGTCTGCAGAAGACGTGGTATCCTAACCTCCCACCAGCGAGGTAGTACGAGTCACTAAACCCAATTTTTTAATGAAATTCTCGTTTTTTTGCCCCTATCTCGAAAATAAAAAGAGCTACAGAAAATATATGAATGACAAACTTGTAGAACATTTAATTTACTACAAAAAAGTTTCACAACACCAAATCGCTAACATCAATATTTCTTGAGATATTGGACTTGGAAGTTGATCAACAATTTCTACAATTTAGCTAATAGTCCATGAAAATTCCACACTACCTCAACTTCAAAGCCCGATATCTCAAGAAATATTGATGTTAGCGATTTTGTGTTTTGAAACTTTTTTGTAGGAAATTGAAAGTCCTACAAGTTTGTCATTTATATTTTTTCTGTAGCTCTTGTTATTTTCGATATAGGGGCAAAAAAACGAGAATTTCATGAAAACATTGGGTTTAGTGACCCGTACTACCTCGCTGGTGGCAGTTAGGATTACACCGCGATGAACTCTTTTAAAGAGCATTCAATTCTGAAGAAAACTCATCATTGACCAAGATTATACCATAAAATGCCTCTGAGCTGTAGACTTTTGAAGAAAAAAACCCACAGTTTACGTGTATTTTATTTGGGAAATCTTTGCACGCCTTGGGCGAGTGCTTAATGTTAATATAAAGGGTTAAAATTTTCAGGGAGTTTTTTTAGGTGTTTTATACAAAATTTCGAGGTAGGGGTGGAAAAAAAAATAGTCACAAAAAAATCGCCCTAATACACGTACAAATATATATATATACATATATTCTCAAGAGCTTCGAGTGCATTCGTCGCAAATTCATGCAGGACGAACTCAGGAGTGGAATGGCAATGGAACAGGGACAGGGGGGTGCTCGATCACAATGTTTAAATAAAAAAAAAAAAATGGTTTTGGGCGGAACGAAGTTCGCCGGTTCCGCTAGCATTTTTGTGCTTTAATATGAATTTGACTATGAATAAAAATCCAGATGTTCATAGAGCTCTTCGTGTAAAAAAACTCATTGGTAGCAGTATGCGGGCCATGACTTCATATAGAAGAGCTTAACTATTTACATATGTTTATTTTTTTCAAGGTATGTGTCTCCCGAACGTAAGTTCGTATGTACACCTTGCATGTATTACATATACAATATGTACGTTAGGGTGCATCACTCTCCATACAAAAGAAAAAAAAACGTGTACTGTTTTTTATCGGAATCATAAAAATTACTACATTACTTCAACTAAAATATTTCGGTATAATATTTAGATTTACGTGAGCTGGGCCCATTTGAAAGCACCGCCTAAAATTGAGTTTTTTTGTTTTATATCACGTCAGGTAATATAAGAGTTTAGGTTACAAAGTACTGCATAAAAATGCTTAAAAAATGTATCAACGGAATCAAAATAATGAGATTTTCGGAGGTAAAGTGGCGAGAATATAAATAGGGAAGAGACATTTTAGCATTCTTTAGCTTTTGTCGTTTCGATTATTTATTGCCATGTACGTTAATATTTCAAACTTTCCAGAAGAATACGCAAAACTCGGCAAAATTTCATCAAAATTTTGAGCTTTTTAATTAGATTTCTTAGAAGCATTCTGAGTATGCAGTTTTAAATTTTATTATAATAAAGTGCAAATTTTAAGTAGGTAGTACTAACCGTTGTGGAAAGTGTAGCTTATTTTCTCCATACAAAAAAATTTTCGAACATATGTACATATTTACTTTGTATCGAAGAAAATGCGCAAACAAAAATTTGCCAAAAATTAACGGTAAGTCCTAGCTAATTTGCACTTTATTATACTAAAATTTAATGGCCTACGATAGATTCCGCGATAGCCCAGAGTAAATATTAAAAAAAAAAAAAAGAAAAGTAGCCTACACTTTTTAAAATGTCTTTTCCCGATTAACATTCTCCCCGCCGTATTTTCAAATCGGTCCTGCTCACGTAAATCTAAATATGTTTCCGAAATATTTTGCCATATGTTTTAGATATAATAAATTTTATAATTCCGGTGGAAAACCCGCAACTTTTTGGGGATGCACTCTAATGCATATACATACATATGTGCATATATGTACATTAGTGCGGGCCAATTTGTATCGGAGATTTTTTCGACTATGCGCGTATAGCATAGAAGGATTCTACGTGTAATTCTAAGAAAATTAGCCAAAGAAACCATAGGTCTAAAATCAATTTGGAGTTTGCCAAATTGCGAAAATAGGTTTCTTAGCATTTTGCTGTAGTGTCGAAAAAAATTGCTTAAATTTTCTATAGAAACATGCTATAAGGGGTTTTTTGGCAGATGGAATCCATTTCTGCACTAATATTTTTCTTAAAACTTCCACCAGAGCGCGTAACAGTGAAAATTTTCACGTTTCCTTCGAAACCTATTTTCGCTATTTGGCAAACTCCAAATTGATTTTAGACCCATGGTGTCTTTGGCAAAATGGCTAAGAATTACACGTAGAATCCTCCTATACTATACGCACAATGTAAACATAAAAAAGGACCCGCCCTAATGTATGTACATCATTCTGAAAGTATATTATATATATGAACTTAAGGAAAAATATGTAATTATAAGATGCGTTTGATTATCCGCCTCATTTGAAACTTCCTTCCGGTAACTCCCCTCTATCTTAAAAAAAAAAAATTGCGCGCGCTTTATCCATTTAAACTCAACTACTTTCGTACAATGCAACCGAGAACAATTGAATTCACAACTAAGGTGTAGCTCTATACCTGTGTACATGCATACATACATCTTATTGTTCACTCAGGGACGGACATATTACATACCTTTACTTAAGTATTCGTTCAGGAAATTTCGTAAGTAAACAACGACAATACCTATTCGCCTGCAAGCAAGGCTAATTTTGCTTGTTTTTGTTCAATTCCGTGGGCTTCTCCTTCATCCGCAACGGCACCTTTCGTTAATGCCTTTCAATTTGAAAACAGAACGAAGAAAATGCGTTACAAGGTATGTACAAGAAACTACCACAATTGCAAGGCGCGCAGACGCAAAATGCATACAGCGAACCACCACCACCACCACCACCACCACTACCCCCATCAGCCGGCAAAAGAAGTCAGCCAGCTAACGAAATGCCTGCGGGCAGCACCGCTGAGTCGTGTTTGGCGTGAGCAGCGATCATGAGGAATCAGTTATGAATTTACCATCGAACGAATAGGAACCTTTCTACGCAAAAGAAGACGGTTTCCTTGCCGCAAGTACCAACAGTATTGGTGTTTTAAAAGTGTTTTGTTAAAAAAACACTTTGTTATACAGTTACAGTTTTGTTTATAAATCTTTATGTTTTTGTTAAAACGTGTGCTTGTTTTTTATTGAGACAAGATTTTTTGAAATAAAGGACACTAAGTTGTTTTGAAACCAAATTAAGAGCTTATGCGAAACCCTCAAACGTCAAAAAGCAAATCGAAACTATTAACCAAAAAAAAAACAAATAAGCCAGCTCAAATTAAAATAACGGCCACTTCAAACCGTACACACAACACTCACGCCAACCCTCACTGCTTATCTTTTCTATCTTTCACGCACCACCTACCAGCAGCAACAACAGCAACGCCACACAATGTCTTTCTCCAAAGCAAAACTAAAGCGCTTCAACGATGTCGATGTGGATTGTGCCAACTCGCCCGCAACTGCACGCCTACCTACCGATGCGTGCACAATTAATACGCCAGGCAAATGCATTGCTGCCGCCGCCACACCAGCTACTACCACCACCAGCGCCAACACGCCCGCTGCCACTACAACAAGCGGCCACCCAGAACGCAAGGAACAGATTGAGAAATTCTTCAAAGACGCCGTACGCTTTGCCACCAGCAGCAAGGAAGCCAAGGAGTTCGCAATACCCAAGGATGCCGCATTGAAGGATGACAAAAAATCCAAGGGTTTGCGACTCTTCCGCACACCTTCATTGCCACAGCGCTTACGCTTCCGACATAATGCCTCCGAGTCAGCGACAGCAGCAGCAGCAGCAGCAGCAGTGGCGGCTGCCAACAACAATAACGGCAGCGGCGCCAGCACAGCCAGCTCCACGCCAATGCATTCCGCCACAAATACACCAGTAAAAGATGCCACCAAGTCAGGCAGTCGACTCAAAGGCAAAGAGGCATTACAGCATGAAATACGTAAAAAGAATGAACTACTCGAGAGCTACATGAGTCAAATTGATGTGCTGAAGCGCCATGTCGAACAGCTAAAGGAGACCGAGCGCAAGTTGCGCGAAGAAAATGCCAGCGTCACGGAGAAGACCGAGAATCTAATACATGCATTGCAGGCGGAGAATGCGACACATAAAGAATTGAACGATAGGCTAAGCGCCGAAAATGTAGAGCTAGCCGAGACATGCAACAAAAGAGAGCTGGAGATAAACGCGCTCGTGACGCGACACGCCAACGAGCTGGAAGAACTACAAGCCATCATGGCTGAGTTGAGATTAGAGAAAGCCACGTTGGAGCAGCAAGCGCAGGAACACGGCTCAGAGGCACAAAGAAGACTCCAACAGTTACAAGTGTTACAGCGTGAGATTATCGAAGCGCGCGAACGGCTGGTGGCATCCGAACAACGCGCAGAAAAAGACACTGAGCTGATACAAAATTTGCGCAATACCAATGAGTCGCTTAGCCTAGACTTGAGTGAGTTGAGGAAGCAAGTCGAACACGACGCGCTCAGCTATGCGCAAGAGACCAAGATCGCACAGAATGAGATGGAGTGTCTGAAGAAGGAGCGCAGCACATTGAAGAACGATTTGGCAAGCAAATGCGAACTCATCAAATCGCTACAGGACGAGCTGCTAGATAAGACTTGCGAAATCGACGCACATTGCGATACGATACGCCAGCTGTGCCGAGAAAAATCGAAATTGCTGGAGAAAGAGCAGTTGATTGAGAAGGCCGAAGAGAAGTTGCGTAGCGCTGAGGAGCAGGCGGAGCAAAAGGTGCAGAAACTCGAGTCCGATTTGGAGAATGCGCTGGAACGCGAGAAGGCGTATTGGCGCGCTGAACTGGACAGACGCCAGAAACTGGCTGAGAATGAAATAATTAAGGTGGAGTTGGAAAAGCAAGACGTGATGGTGTTGCTGGAGACTACGAATGATATGCTACGCGACCGCGACGAGAAAATCCATAAGTACGAAGAGCAATTGCGCAACGGCATTGACTACTACATACAATTGAACGATACATTGCAGAAGCAGATTGTTGATCTGAAGCAAGAGATTGCTAAAATCATTACCGAGAAGTACAATTACCAACTGACGCTGAGTAATACGCGCTCCACGGTCAATATACTGATGGAGCGTTTGAAGAAATCCGATGCTGACGTCGAACAATTTAAGGCCGAACTCGAATCTGTGCAGCTGGCCAAGGGCGCGCTGGAGCAGAGTTACCTAACGCTGCAGTCCGAATTGGAGGCACTGCGCAGCGATCATGCTGAAACCGAAACGGCACTGAAGACGCTGTGTCAATCATCGCAAACGCTGCAACAAGAGGTATCCATTAAAGATAACCTATTTAATGAAATACTCACCTCAGAAGAAGAAACTTTGGCAAAATTCAATAAAATTGCTTCCTCATTCCAGGAGCGCATCAATACGACAGATGTCGCGCACTACCTGGAGATGTACAATGAGCTGAAGCGCAAAGACGAGACGCGTGAACAGTACATGCAGGACATGAAGAAGGCGCTAGACGAATTCGCCACTGTGCTGCAATTTGCACAACTGGAGCTGGACAGCAAAGAGAAGTCACTACACAAGGTGCGCGACGAATGTGAACAGCTGAAGTTGGAGAATATGGCGCTTAAGTCAAAGGTCGACGAGGGTAACACCAAAAAGGAGAATAGCACAGATCTGGAGAAAATTGAAGACCTACTAATCGATACAGAACTGCGTGCGGAATGCGACAAAATCGCCTCATGGCTTTTGAGCTCCTCGGCCAGTGAGAAATGTGTACGCACCGAAAGTACCAACGAAATCAACGAGCTGCTGAAGCCAACGACACCGAACAGCAACAGCAAGAAGAACCGCAGCTGTTTGACACCATCATCACCGACGCCCGCCAACAAAACGATAACGCTATCCACCAACGCGCCGGGTTCCAATGTGGGCACACCGCGTACACCGCGCACACCGCGTACACCGCGCACGCCAAAAACGCCACGTACGCCCCGCACGACACCCAAGAAGACGGTGCTCTTTCCCGGCAAGGAAAACATATGCAGTCCACAGAAGCAAGTGCTGAAGGCGCGTAATATGTAAAGAGGCGAGCGGTCAGTTGGAAGAAGGTACGGTCCAGTTGAGGTCAGTAGCCTGACGGACGGCCTAAGCGTACATATGTCTTGGGACTAAGATTGATATTTTTTTTTTTAATAAAAAGCTATAAACGAATAGGGTTTATGAATCGTCAATGTTTTATTCATCGAAAAGTTTAGAGGAGGGTTAGTGAGGCAAATGGGGTTGAATTTTGATTTATTGTAGAATATAGTTTTCCCACGCTACAGTATGAGATTTAGGCACAAAAGAATCACATTCTGCAGTTTATTATTGCCGAAGGTAAGGAAAGGTATGCAGGGTATGTTTGCATTCAATGAAATCTGCGTTATATACTCGCAGCACAATTGCGCAATACATACGACTTATTTGTTACCTGCTGGGAAGTGAAGTCATCATCTTTTGTAAACGCACAAAGGGGTGGGTAAACAGGCCCTACACTACTTCATACAACTACATATTCCTTAAAATAACGACAAGAAATTGCGATACGCTTCCGCTCGTCATAGCGCAAAGCCTTTGTGTTGGGTAGACAAACACTTGAAGGAACTCAGCAAATGATGGCATCAAAGTAAAAGAAAGCAATAACACTGGGGTGAAGATAAGGAAGTATGTACCTAAACAGTAAATTCGGCAGATGTTCAAATTGTTATTCGTCTTTCTCAAATATGTAACAATAATAACTGTTGCGTCGAGTTACAATTCAGCGCCAAAAAAGGTAAACTTTTCACACCGGTCTAGGGTATAATGACGGTTGCGATCGTCATGGTTGGTTGGATTGCATTGCCACAGGTGCCCCTAAATGCCCGTTTTTGAAGTGAAACTTCTTTACGTTCGGTTGGGAGTAAATGCAACCATCGATACAACGAAAAAGCGACGAACTCGTTGGGCTCTAATTTCAACAGAAAAACCGACTTAAAGATTACGATTAGAATTAAGATTAACATCGAGATTGAGATTAAGATTAAAATAACTGCCCATTATTGTGCAGAAAAATATTCATATGATACGCCAAGGCATTTTTTGTTTTAACGCCATGAAATCTGCACCGTTAGTTCGATTTTCAAAACTGAGGTGTCAAATTAAAGTGCTTGTTTTGTCAATGCGACACAAGATTTTATTTTTTTCGAAAAGAGTTGCCACTTGTTAAAAAATTAAATTCAAATAAGAGCAATTATTTCCATATGGGTATCAATCTAAATGTTTTTGAAAAGGCTTTATTTTGTAGCTACATGTATGAGAGTTTGCCACCTGCTCAAAAGATAAGTTCAATTCAAACTAAGGCAATTAGGTAATTGATATGTATCACTATTTAAGTGTCAGACGAAAGAGCTCTTAGAAAGTTTTAGTTTGAAATTATCTTGAAGCGTGTTGCCAGATTTTTGGAAAGTCGAATTTATGTAATTAAATTATACACAAGTTATATGAAATATTAAAATATGGGTTTAAAATGAAAAAGTGGCAAGAAATCTTTGGTTTGAACATTTAGAAGGTTGCCACCGGTTTAAAAAAATTCTTTATTTCTGAACTATATTTATATAAGTATTTGAAAAATCAAATATAACTTAATTCATCAATTACTTGAAATTTGTATCCCAATTTTAGATGTAAGAGATTTAAGTTGAAAGATACTTTTAAAAAGTGTTGCTACCTGTTTGAAAATCGAGTTTAGTAAACATAGACACTAGATATGCATATGACATATTAAAAAATATGAGTGTCAAACGCAGTGTTGTGAAAATTTTTGTTTGAAAAAACTTTTGATTAGGGCTGCCACCTATTCGAAAACTCATATCTATCATGAAGGCATTTTTTGTGAAAGTCGCCGGATCTGCACCGTTCCTTCGAATTTCGAAAATCATATGTAAAATTAAAGAGCTTGGCCCGTACATGTTTGTCAGTACAGGGTGATTTGAAATTAAAGAAACCTTTTCACTCAGAAACGGTGGGACGGATTTAGGTAAAATTTGATACACGGATCGCATTTGGAATATTTTTTAGGTTTTAGATTTTTGAAGTTTAAAATTTTTAATTAAATTTTGTCTTCTTAACGCTCGGCGGGTTCACCATTAATATTGTAATACGGGTAATATAGGAAGAAGTTTCGCTACAGCCGCGTGTGGGATCCTCACACAACTTCTTTTTATTACTTTCTTAGGTAAAATATAATTTTAACGACCAATAAAGTTACGAATGTTATCCCTGCAGGGAAAACGCGCACTAGTGAATTATATTGCTGGTTCCGTACTAGATCTTTATCACCAAAAACGAACCAGTCCGATAGTAACTATGTAGATAGCCACCAGTTAAAAATCAGCGTAACGTGGAACTTTTAAAAAATTATTTTATTTCATTTTTTCCATAAGAAATCTATATATCGATGGCTGAGTAGAAGATCGACCTATCTCGGCAGCCTGTTCGAAAACGCCCTATCTCAGAAAATTTTTCAACAACGCCCTATTTTAGAATTTGATTGAAAAACGACCTATCTCAGAATTCAGTTCAAAAACGCTTAATCCCAGTTGCCGATTCAAAAACGCCCTACCTCAGTACATTTTCAATGTATTTTTCGTTTGAGATAGGGCGTTTTTGAACCGAATTCTGAGATAGGGCGTTCTTCAACCAAACAAATTTCTTTTCAAATTGAATACACACTTCTTTGAAAATAATTTAAAAACGCACACACGGACGAAGCAAAAACATTGAAAAATCATTATACTTTTTTCTTTTGTCTGTCGATTTTAGACTTGGTTGAGAACTATAGAATTTAGGACTAGTTCGGAACTATCGGAAAAAGAGATGCAGCTGGGGCAATTGACACTTCCTAGGACATCACCATGTTAAATTCGCCAGTTGTTTGCATGCAAAAGAGATTAATCGTGAACCAGTACTGGGTCTAAATAAACTAGTAGCGCATCAGTTCAGAACTGGAGATTTTCCCCACAGGGATATAACAAGAGTATTATAAATGTGAATGTTTGTGAGCGAGTGTGTGAGTATGTTTGTTCCTTTTTCAAGCTAAAACGGCTGGACGTATTTGAGTAAAATTTGGCACATCGATACGTTGTAACCTGGATTATCATATAGGATATTTCTTGAAGAGAGTTGCCACTTTTTTAAATGTTAAAATCAATTAATGAATAGGTTAAATAAAATGTTACAACATTGTAGATGTCAAATGAAAGGTTGCCACCTGTTAAAAGTTTAAAATCGGTTAACTAATAAGTTAAAAAAGGTAACACAATCATGTGGGAGTAAAGCGAAAGCAGTTGAAACGATTTATTTCGAATATATTTTTTAAGGCGATTGCCGCCTATTCAAAAAGTTTGATCAATTTAATTAATAAGATTAATAAGTTAAACGAATATTTTAATATGGCCCCCAAACGAGAGAAGTTAAAGAAAGCGTTATTTAAAACATTTTCTTTTAATGAAGCTATCATCTCTTTAGAAATTCAAGATCAATTCAATCAACAAGTTAAATAAAATATTTTAATATGGATATCAAACGAGATAGGTTTCACGAAAGCTGTAAGTATTTCGAAAATATGTTTGACGAGGGTTGCCACCAGTTTACGAGTTTAATTGACAAATTGAATGAAATGTGTGTTGGTCTTTCTTATTAGCTGGATTGACATACAACGCAAAAAATTAAATTCTACTTTAAACTATAACAGCCAATTTCACGATGGCAATTTAAGTGAAAATGATTTTAATTTTTTGAATTTTACATGGAACGTGACAGAAAATTAATAATCATTTTCCATTTAAATTGCTGGTGACACCGGCTGTAAGTTAATCGAAATTGTACGAGATAAAGAAAGCTTTATTACAGGATTGCCACCAATTTAAAAAGTAAAGTAATAAGTATGAAGTATTACAATATGGCGCACAAACGAATGAGGTTTAAGAAGCTTTATTTTGAACATATTTTTAAAGAAGGACCCGCATGTTAATAAGTAACTTAAATTTAATCAAGAAGTAATATGAAACATAACAAAATGATGCCAAGCCAAACAAAATATGTTTAAGGGCTGTTTCCAGCTCTCAAGAAAAACGAAAAATTCATACAAAATGACGCACAAGAAATGGAAAAGAATTTTCTTCCATCGAAATTTCTTAAATCAGTTTGCAGCTTTAAAGAAAAAATGCTCCTATATTTATTTCTTCAAGAAAACTTACAACAGAACAGAAATTAAAAATATTTCTTGTGGTTTTTCTGGAGAACTGGATTCTAAGCTTTAAAATGGGTTTATTTCGAAAATATTTTTAAAAGTGGTTGGCGCTTGTTTGAAAGCTAATTAAATTTTATTTGTTAATTTAAGTAAATATTACAATATGGATGTCAAAAGAAACAGGTTGAAAAAAGCTGTATTACAAAAAAACCAAATTCAATTGAACATTTGCAAAATGAATATCTTTCATCTTTACAGAAAAAATAAATGAAATACATATATATATATATATATAAGATATTATAAGAAACAAATTGAGTTGTTTTTTTTTTATTTAGACACATTTTTTAAAAGAAAGCACCCTATACAAATAATTTAAACAAGAAATGTTTAAGCAAAAAACACAAACTACTTAAATTATAACATACAAATTTAGGAGTACCGTTGATTTTTTCATGGAACAATGATTGAATCTAAACCAATTAGTATGGGACCACTTGTGAGACACTACCTTTCCGATAGAAAAAGAATTATCGAAATCGATTGACGTGGTTTAAAGTTATGCGGTAACATACATAAAAAAAAAAACAGATTCCGATGAATTGATAACCTTTTCCTCTTTTAGAAGTCGGTTACAAATAAATAAAAAAATCCGACGAATTGATAACCTTCTCCTTTTTGTGAAGTCGGTTAAAATTATAATTGAGTTGATATTCGACATATTGACCATGATTCAATAATGAAAGGTTTTGTAAGTAGCTTTCTTCTAAAATTTGATACTCCCAGCCACAGGGATGGTTTTTGGAAGCAGGGGAAAAAAGCGAAGAATTCAAGCACACTTCCTAAATGGTAGCTAAATTCCACAAAAAGGTGGGGATAATGGTGCATAGTGGCATTTTAAAACAAAAACGAATTTGATTTAGTTATTTAATTTAAACCAGCTTATTTACAACGCATATAACCCCTGATTGTTATTAAAAATAATAATTTATATGTATGTATATTCCAAAGTTGAGTACGCCAGACGGCGCATTTCTCGAGAATGGATGGTCCACTTTGAGCTATAGTTTTTTGTGTTTGTTTGCCTTGTAAATTCTTTGCGGTATCATTTACAGTTGAAGGATATGAAGAAGCTATTTGCTTTTGGGGGGAAAAAAAAAACGAAAAATAAGAACATTTAAGTTTCTTTCGCGGTTTTGGCTCGATTGCTTCGAGCATGGTAATTCGAATTCTTTGATGCGGTTTGCCAATATTATATTGCGTCAAAGCCTCATTCAAGGACACCAGGATTGTGTTGTGTAGGTCAATACCTTCGTTTACTCATTCACCAGAACCATTGCGCGCTTTACTTTTCAGCGACTTGACAGAATCAATAGGTATCCACGAATGTCAATAAATACAACTATTCGGCATTTAAAGGAATTTCGTCTCTTTATCCCAAATTGAATTTCTGTAGGCCAACGAATCTCACACATTTCGTCTTGTTGTCGGCAGCGAATGCAGAACAAAAATTTCTTCAAAGGTAAAAATTTCACTAAAAGTTTAAAAATGTTCCTAAAACTTGCAAAAAGAAATTTTGTGTTTTTTAGGAGTAGGGTGGGAGTGTCATTGATAAAATTAGAGCCTTACATCATTGAATCATGATATTGACCATGTTCGGAAACCTCGAGACAACAAGCACCTTTTTTTATATAAAATTTATTATTTTCGGTGATATAATTCATTTTCTCTTTTGTTACATTTGAAATCATAATGTCAAACCGAACTTAACGCGAAAGAAGCTTCAGGCAAAAGCTAGTAGATACATACATACATATAGTGTACTAATAGTGTTTGTTCATTCGGACTAAGATCAGAAAGATACGGCAAGTTGCGTCAGCATTCATCTAAGCGCAGATAGTTTCTTGTGGATTTGTTTTTTCAAAAACACACACCGCATAATGTAGGACAGGTCAACGGACACTATTTCGCATACTGCGAAGCGAATAAAATCCGTTGACATTATTGCTCTTTCAAAAATTAAATTTGCGTAGCTTCGCGTCGCGTCAATTAAGTTACATGATCTCGGTTCAGGTAATAAATGATCAATAATTGTTTATACCCGCATTTGAATGTGCCATCTAATAAATAATGTCGGATTATTCGCGTAAAATGTAAATGGATAAGCCCTTCTAGAAGGCATGCAAGGAAGTCATTTTTTTAAGCCCTTCTTGGGTAGTCCTCTTAGAATGGCTTTACTTAAGAAGGCCTACCTAAATTATCTTCTGAGCTATTATTGCGATTTATTGCAATTACGAAATTTTTGATTTTTGCCGTACGTAGGGCTTCGCCTTTTTACATTTTTCGTTACATCTTCGGCATTTACAGTTAGATCTGAGAGTATGATAAATGGATGTTTTTGTCTCGAGGGGCATTTTTTTTTTGTTCCCAAGTTCATTAACCTCAACTACCCTGTTCTAGTGCTTACCCATCAGACCTCAATTCTTATCACCCTAACGTACCACATTAATGCTAGTAAACTAAAATTCTCCAAAAATTATTTAACTTTTGCTCAGGAAATATTTTGATCCTTCCAGTAGATTTATTTTAAAAATAATTTATTACCGAATGTAAAATCTTTGGCATTTTTGTGAATTTTGGTAGACAGATATAGACGTGAACAGTACAAAATGAAAGCTGAAATATTCGCCTTTTATCTCCGGCCTCAAGCTCAATAAAAATTGTTGAACATAATTTATTACTGAATATAAAATTGTTGGCATTCTTTGAATTTCGATAGACAGATGTAGACGTGGAATTGAATGTTTTGAACTGTACAAAATGAAAGCTGAAATATTCGCCTTTTATCTCCAAAAGTAAAAAATTAGGTTCCTAAACATAAGGCTTTAAATATTTTGGTGTTGGTTGGTTTTTTTTCGACTGGGCGGTAAGATGATTTATTTTGGAACGAATTCCTGTCAACCCTTGTCAAATTTGATTTGGAGCCAAACCGGGTTCGGCGTTGTGCCATTTTTCGTCCGACTTGACAAGGGATGACGCAAATTCGTTCCTAAATAAATCCGCTTTAAATATGTTTTCAAAAACAAATTCATTTTTCAATCAAATTCATTTTAATTTTGTATTAGTTCTCTTTTAGAAGCTCGGTTTATCTGTCAAATGTTTCGAAAATTTGTGATAAATGTAGAATGTTAAAATTTTGTACCTTTTACAAATGCACTCCATTATACTTATTCGATATTTTATCATATCTGGGCACGTCTTTCAGGTTTTCGTTGTTAAGGCCAGTATGTAGCTCTCAAGAAAACGGTCTTTCTTCTCTCTTTCATCAAGAAATAATGGAACAGACATACTTGTGGATATTTAAGCTTTCCTTTTATGCCGTCAAATTATTCCACATTACATTGATATTCTAATACTAAAACTCTAAAAATGGTAAATTTCGTTTTTCGATACTTTTAATCCCGAATATCTCAAAAACCCAATTCCATAATTTAGAGATTAGAGGCTTAATCTACGGAAAAGATCTATTAGAATTCGCTCTAAAAAAACTCGGCCGCAAAATTTTGTTGGCATTATATAAATACAAACGTATATACTTCTTAATAGAATACTAATATAAACATTTTTACTTACCATCAATCTATTATGCTACGTACTTTGCTTGAAGTTGTCGTAATTTTGTGAGTCAAATAAATTGATGGAAATGAGAATATGATGGAATAAATGTACTATGCACCGGGATGGAAATTGCTTAAATTTTGTTAGATTTTCAATTAATTTTTAATGCACCTGAAAAGTTCAAATAAAAAGTAACTAAAAATTTTGAAATAAATAAAACTTAAGCTTTTATACGCAACTAGTTCTCACCTGATATGGACGATAAAGTTGGCATGAACATTTACCCTTAATTGCATCCTATGTAGATTGAATAGAAAATTGACTTGAAGGTAATACATATGTGTAAGCCAGCATATTTTCACGCTTTTTCATGAGGAGAAAATTTGCGACTTTAGTGACGGTACTGATGTGTGTATGTATGAATATTAGTTGCAGGTCCAATGGGAGTGTGCATACAAGGGTGCTTATAATTTTCAGCAATGCGATAATGCGAATATTTCCGTACAAATGTAATGAAATTTGCTTAACCCGTACTTTTGCATATGTTTTTATGTATTTCCATGTTTATGTATGTACACATGTATGTATGTGGTTATAAAAGCATAAAACAAAAAAACATTGACAACAACCAAGCATTTTGGTTTCTGTTAGTTGCTTCCCTTAAACGCGAAATGTTCGAAAATCGAATGCGTGCTTCATTTTGACATTTTACTTTTATGTACAATTTTTTAGTTTAAGCGAACGCCCGTAACATTACATCTTTTCATTTGTTAAGTAAAAAATATATGAATTTGCTTTTTTTGTTTATTTTTCAGTAAAAATGTAAGTTCGTTATTATTTTATATATATATATATATATATACTCATAATTCATAACTAAAGTAAGATTTTATAAAAAATATTTCAACAGAAAAACACGTGTTTTGAGCACTTTGGTACATACACATATTATCTAATATCAGCAGCATAAATCAATACAATAATATAATATTTATATGTACTATGCCACGTATGAACATCTACATTTACATATATGTATATTAATTGCAGTTTTGTTTTTTTTTCGCTTTTTTACATCCTATGATTATATGCGCATGTGTATGTAAATTTTTAAATATATTATAAACATATGATTAAAATATTAAGCCTTCATTATACTTTAAATTTCATTTAAAAAAATGTGGTGCATTATATGTGTGTATGTATACATTTTTTCGTATATTGTAAGTATATTCAATTTGTTACGCAGTGTTAAAATGTTCAAAAATGTTTACATAAATTACAGTTACTACATACATTTCATCGACATTGCACGTGCACGAATGCAAAAATATGGATTGCTTGTCTTTTATGTGTTTCGGTAAACAAAAAGAAATGAGATAATTATAAATTTACAAAGCGCCTTTAAGTAATAAAAGTAATTTATTTTAAGTTGATATAGTAAGTATAATTAAAGAAATAAAATTAACTTGAACAACTAAGTTTTTAACAACAATTGATGTTTTATGTATTCTCACGATAGCCTTTAGAATCATTTTATTTATTATTAATTTTAAATGAAATGTTTGCAACTTTCTTTACGTGTACAAAATTTCTTTCAATATAGCATATATTTGAAAATATTTCTATGCGCACATTCAAGTTTAGTAACGTTAAGATTTTTCTTGTCGTTTGTTACAAACGGTGTATTCGTTATACGAATTACTTTTATAATTAAATTTTTATTGGATAGTCATAACAAAGAATAACTCTTTTAAGTCAGCAATTGAATCCAATCTAGCAATTAGTTAAATTAGAAGAGGCCTAGGTGGCGTAGGTAGGTAGTTAGAAAAAAATGTGCCGTATCTCTAAGCTTATAGCATTTTCCACGCGCAGGACACGCAGCAATTCGTAGTTCATTTGCATAGAACGGTAAATATTCTAAACTATGTTTATATATGTTATATGTATATGTATATAAGTAAGTTATATGTATGTATATATAAACAGCAAATACCGTAATTCGTTATGTATTGTTGTATTGTATATAAATACCTACGGGCGTAAACGTAAAATACGCAGTCTGTTTTTTTTTCTATCGTTTACTACCAAAAATTTCCCATTTTTATTAGATTTCTCTATCATATTATTTTTACGTTTGCACATTTTTCTACGCTCTCTCGTTAATTGGTTATTGCGTCGTCTTTGTTATTGTGTCCATTTTCAACGGTTTTAATATTATTGGCAAGATGCGATTGTTGTTGCGGCTGTGGCAGCGGCTGATTTTGTAGTTTGAGTTTTTGTTTTTGCTCCAAAAGTGACTTGTACGTGTAGAGCGACTGTAGTGGCACATGTAATAACTCAATGATTTGTGTAAAATGTACTTCTGCAATATAAGAGAAACAATCAAATATATATGAATGTATTTACACAGAAATTGGTTTCATTTAATTCAAGTATCTTAAACGTAACTTAGCTGAAACCCTAAATTCTTAAACAATAAATTTATAATCCTTTTGTTTACACTCACCATTTTCAGGCGTTATATAGCCATGTCTAATTAAAAAATCTATAACCACTGGGCAACTGGTTGTCTTAAAATCAGGCGTAAATACACGTTCCACACACTCTTTGGCTGGCAGCAATTCGAATGCTTGCACTTCACCATCAGCATTTTGTGGTACAAAATCCAATGGAAGCTCCAAGTCAAATACATATTCCGTATTTGGGAATAAACCTTGATCACTTTCGAAAAAGAATGATACACAACCGGCTGAAACGAGATTTTTGACGAGATCACTTGGAATGGATGCCTCTTCAGCTGCCTCTTTAATTGCTGTCTCTTTGATGCCATAGCCGACCGACAGACCGCCACCAACCATGTTATCCCACTTGCCGGGCCATGTTTCTTTGGTGTTGGAACGTTGTTGTAGCCAAATACAAAGACCCTGCGTTGGATGTTGTACATAGCCATTAATATCGACACCATATTTGCGTACACCAAATAATGGTGTGGCCGAACGATCCATTTTCAATAGACTTCGATATTCCGATTTAACTTCATAATACTGGAATCATAAGTAAAACATAAACATAATAAACATAACCACATTTGTAGTATGAAAGTATATACCTCATCACGCCAACCTTGGAGTGCAGAAAAAATGCCCTTAGAACGTAAATCACGTAATACTATATCGACTTGCTTTGTGCGTTCAGCATAGTCACGGAATGCAGGATTTAACTCAACGATACCCTAAGAGAAATTAATATAGAAGTTTAAAAACTGAAAGCATATTTTATTATATTTTAATCCGTTTTGTTTTACCTGTTTTGTGAATTCACAATTGCGTATACAAAATATTTCGGGATAGCGTTGAAGCTGCTTGACCACATCCGCCTTGATAAGGCCAACTTGTTCACCTTCAACTAGAAACGGACGTATCTCACCCTTTTGAAAACCTGTAAGAAAATAAAAAAGATAATAAACTTGTAAATAATCTTTAGAGCCGCACATTACTAAGAATATTTATGATTGAAGTTAAAATTCAAGTTATTGCCATTGGTGATCGATTATTGCATTTATTTCTAGATAAGCATGCTTATAAGTGTGCATGCTTGACTGTTTAGTGACGCTTAACAAGTTAAATATTTGCTTAATGCCAGTTGTATTGAAAATATGTCGATATGTATGCGCTTTAAAAGTTTAACTTATTTAACTTTTAATACTCAAACTGGCTTTAGAGGTTTAGCTTGTGGTGTTGAAAGACCTAAAGAATTCTGCTTTCAAAGGAGTAAAAATATTGAATTTAATTTTTTTTTTAAATTCGAACATATCGACCCCTAATTGCGATTTTATCGTAAGCGACAATAGGTAAATTTTACAGGAGAGGTTTTTTCGTTAATTCTCCCTTAAACAGTGTAAAAATTTATTTGGATGTAAATGGACAACAACATTACCGAATGCTAGCTTTCTACTAGGACTATTTAATTTTTGCATACTAGCTTATTTTCTAAGGGTAAAACGACGCTTACGATATTATGCTGAGAGCAAACTTATCAAAGAATTGGCGCTTGCGATAGTTTTTATGTTGTATAATCTGGACATTTATAAGCGAAGGAGTGCGTTTACTTTAAGGATTGTTTGAAAAAAAAAAATAATGAATTTAAGTCAATTAAATATAAGCACTGCGAATCAGCAGAATAAGCTCAACATATTTTTAACTTTAACTGTTCGGTGCATCTACTAGAGTGTCCACAAGTTTTCTTCGGGGATACATTCAATTCTCTAATAAACTAAAACGACCACATTGGCGCTACTATTTGGTATTTTTTTTTTAGTTTTTTTTTAAGAATGAGAAAAAAAGTAAAATTTAGTCCTTGACAAGAATAGATTCAGTATCAAAATCTTCATATTAAGGAGATTTTTGGCAAGTTTCCAAATTTTTTAATCAAGAGATTAAAATCAAAAGCTATGATATGAAGTGCAAAAGTTATGATAAGTAAAAGTGAAAAAATCAAAATCATATAATCAATTTGAAAACAGATTAACGGCAAAATGAAATAATTTTGAAGGTGTGAATCCATAAGGCCGTATAAGCTGGTGTTAAAAGGGCAATTTCGAATGCAGTTACATTTTTTTTCTATACCTGTGCATACAATAGGAATATAAGCCCCGTTAGGTATCTGCTTTTGATCTTTCTGATATGCTTTTAAATTTTACAACCCATTGGCAAAGTAAGAGTTTCAAAAAATGTCCCGCTAGACGAGCCACGCTGCACTTAGTGATTGCAGCTGCAATTGCATAATGGCAGATTGCACTTAATTTTGACGAGTGAAAGAAGCTGGACTCGAATCGTCACATACAATATCGTATTACTCGTCACGCAAAAACACCGTTTTCGGATTATGACATACATGAGCGTACTCTTTATCCCATTCAGCTTATACGACTGACGGTATCACGTAATTTTCTTTCGTATGGTTTTCGATCCGTGAACGGATGTTACGATTCGAGCCCTGATTTTGAAACATTTAGTTGTAGCAGGTGCCAATGCAAGTTTGTTTAAAACTATAGTTCAAACTGCTATTTACAATAAAGCTCGGTACACACAGTGTCGCTTACGATAAAATTGTAGAACGGCAAAAGTGTAAACGAAGCAAACGATAAAATACATCTTGCTTTTTTCCGTAACGGTACATATTCAAACTCTGTGCTTTTCAGGACGTTGCAACTAGTATTTGTAACCTATTTGCAACAAAAAAAATGTTTTCGATAGTTTGTCGCTTACGATAGACTCGCAAATAATAAATTTAAAAGCTTAAAAAACTCCGTAATGAAAGAACCATAAAAATTAAGATGCTGTTATAAAAGTATGTATGTATTAAAATTTTCCAAAGCATTTCTAGGGAATGCTGAAGTATCGCTTTTACGAAACAGGTATGATTCGGAGGCACAGTCTCTCCAACCAATAACAGCAGCCCCCTGTACTTCTTCTTGGGAGTACGGTTTCTCCGCAAGCCACCTCCGTATATTTCTGGTCCGTGTCGGCGGTAAAATAAACCCCGGTCCAAGGTCCGGCAACAACTCCTGTCATTTGAAGCCGTGCACAGAACTACTGTCCCTCCGGTACCGTAGCCCCGCCTGTCGTTTTCACACAAACTGCGTTCGCACTAGCAGCTTCACCTAGTGGACTCAATCCACGCAGGAGCCCCAGGGCATCCACTGAGTTGAAATAGTACTGAAGCGTGCGCATTGGTCTTATATGACGCAACACACAGTCAGTTGACACCTGAAACACTGTTTTCACCTTCGCATCACCGTGAGACGACCTCTGCCATTGCTATTGTTGTTGTTGTAGCAGCATACAAATTCCCCAAAGACTTTTTGGGGAGTGTTGCTGGAGTGACAGTCCTTGGCCAGATATAAATCTGGGTCGTTCCGGTTACGTAGACCCGACTGTCGTGGGAACGTCTGCCATTGCTATCCAGCAGCACCGACGCCATGAAGATCGACGACGATCAGTCCGTCGCCTCTAGTGTAGCCATCGCCGCAACAAAAGTTCCCATTCCCAGCGTTCACGCTTCCGGCAGAGGTAACAATCAAAAGCAGCAGCAATGAAGACAGTATTTCCGTCGGGACTACGTTACCGGAACGCCCTAGATCGGCCAAGGAGTGTCACTCCAGCATTATTCCCTAAAACATCTTATGGGAATTTGTATGCTGTTGCAACAGCAGCAAGGCCGTATTCGCTCAATCCTCGTGACAAAAAACCCAGGTCACACTTGCGTTTCTTTGCTGTGATTTAATAAATTCGACGTTCTCGTCGCAGTTTACATTTCGAAAGCCTCGGACACAGTGTACAAACCGACCCTTTCACAGACCATCCTTGCCTCGCCCCTTATAGATATGACCAAGCGGTGAATCCTCACTTATCTTCGTCGACGGTCGAATTCCGTAACGCTAAGAGTAAACGATTCCAAACATAGTGTATAAACAATTAATCAATCAATAGACTCCAAATGTAATCGGTTATTGCTAAAACTAAGATAACAAAAGTCAAGGTTTAATTCTATTGTTTTGTTTTTAGCAACAATATCAATTGAAAAAAATTTGTATGTACACGTATTTCAGCGATAAGATACTTATTGCTCGACCTTTTTTATAGCCACAAGAACATTAGTCAAAAGAAAACAAACAGAATTATTGTTTATAAACCGTGATTAAAAACCTTATTTACGGTTGGAACAAAAGCATATCACCCAAGTCACGTTTGCAAACATTATATAATCAAATTAACAAATTAACGTGTCGCTAGTTGATTAAAAAAAAGATATTCCTAGTTATAAAACAGCGAAAACTTAATTACACCAACAATTAAATGCTAAAATAATTAGGCAGTCTTGCAGTCTGCAAATTCTTTCACACATTACACCTTGTATTTATGGTTCTATTTTCCTGATAAGTGCCAAATACGTACAAGAGAGCCAAGATCTCAACAATACGTTCACCTGCTCAGTATTTTTGGAAAAAATTTTTGCTTAAAGAAATTGGATATTCTAGCGTTAATTAAATTTTTGAGAATTCTCAACCGAGGGTAGCCCCTATACGTCAGTAAAACTTAAATATGCTTACCTTATTTCGGTTATTAATGAATTTAGCAAATGTGTGTCGCGGACTTCCATCTCTTATAAGTATTCACGCTAACTATTTATATTCGCACAATCAAGATCTTCAAGATATACAAACACATCCATACATATACATATGTAAATATGTAAATCATTGTATGTACATGCACATGTTCGCTGTTTGGTCTTCTCGTGCGCGTGGCCACTTTCGACATAGAATTCACAATGTCAAGCTCATTCAAGGTGACTGAGACAATTATAATTTTTAATGGCGCCAACCGCACTTACTGGCGTTAGTTGGTTGTCCTTATTCTGGTCGCACTTCTTTTAGCCAAACTCATCTCATTGAAAAAGTTTTGACAACCAAAAGAGCAATCTCGTTAACAATTTTAATGAATATATTCCACTGTGTATATAGTGGTACTTAGCTGCCAATATACTAACAACAAACTTTATTTGGCAGCAAAGCATTTGCGAATAAGTATGAATGTATCCGCGTACTTACATATGTACATATTTACGTAAATATGTATGTCAACATTTGGATATGCGTAACACCATGCCAAGTGTGTCATTTGGGCGGCATGCTAAATTATGACTCATGGTTGTGATTAGAGGAGTGAAGTGAGCATATAATTACCTGGGCGTTAGGTGTGTGTTGTGATATCTGTATTACCATCTTTTGAAATAAATATGTATTATATATGTAAATATGTATATTAGACTAGCCAATTCCCGCTTGCTTCGCGGCGCCTAGCAAGAACTTTTGCGTTGGCCAATACAAAAATAGCTTTTAAAAGAAAAAACGGTTTGTAAAGTAAAAAAAAAAAAAATTGAAACGACTAAAGAGCAGAATCCTCCTCATACATAGGCTAAAAATTGTAGCGATTTGATGCCATATGGAATACCAATTCCTTTCGATGTCATGAGCTTTGTCGATGGTCTTATTTCCACCTGTGAGATCTCTGCCAAACGTGCATAATCTTCTTTGATCTTGCAACTACAACATTGGTGCGCGACGCGTAAGCCAATAAAAGTCCTTATAAGGAAACCTAAGAGCACAGATGAGCGTTTTCTGTCATAGGGGGGCCAAGAATCCTCGCTGCCCCACAGGATGAAAAGTTTTCCCGTACATCCTTGCCCATCTATATATGTATATGTATATACAACATATATATATAGATATACAACTTCCACATTTAGCTGTAACTTGCTGTCTCCATTAGCGATTGTTTATCTGCTGCGTTAGATCTCCTGTGATGAATCGTTTGTGCAGACCTCTCGTCGCAATAATGAACTGTTAAATTGTTAGTTTTACAGCTTGATTAAAC